ATGCGGTAACTCAGCATGTGATACTGGGTGTGAATGTCGAAAAGCATGTTGAACGCGGCGATCTGGAAGCCCTTGCGCGAATCCTTTTGGATCGACGCCCAGTTTCTGCCGAGGATGTCGAACGCTCTGTTCTGCCCCACCAGCAGCATCACCTTGTACCTGGGAAGAATCGCGACGAGCGTGTTGTTAAATTCTTTACGCGAAAAATGGGGAAAACGGGGGATGGGGAGGAAGGAGAGGAGAGGAGTAGAGGAGGGGAGGTGGGAAGAAAGTGGAGGGGAGGGGAGAGGAGAGGTTATTCGGGGAGTTCAGAGAGAATTTGTAAGGGAATGCAGAGTTACTTGATGCATTGGGAATGTTGCCAGATGGGTTGACAGACAGATGACATCAGGGCTATCATGGACCCAAAAGTCATATCTTCGGAACCGGCAGCTTTAGCGTGAGCTCTGCTGGAAATGACCTGCTGTCGAGTGCTGGTGTTGCTCTCGCTTTCTGCTTTTACAAAGGTCTTGGATACACAGGCGGGCGCAGGTCTTGCAATCGACTTGACGTGTCACTTAGGGCGTGTCTTAAGTGGGATGTCAACGGATCATGTCGACGGATGTCGACAAATCCTGACGGTCGGAACCCTCGATCCGAGGGCTGACATTCACCGACATCCTCAGAAGCTTTCCGGCGGACATTGACGCTCACTTCAGACACGCTCTTACTGCTTGTCTTTATGAGCGTGATGTAGGACTTGTAGTTACTTTTCCTCATCAGCGAGACCATAATGTCGTTGAAGCCTGTCACCCCGTCGTACGCTGCATCCGTTGACGCTACCGAGACTAGCGCGATGGTTAGCAGTAGAAGTCGAAGAGAGTGGATCGACATCTTGAAGGCGCGTTGAGTCCGAGTCGAAGCGACAGTACACGGGAGGAGGTGAATTAATGATACTAGAAAGTGATGGAATGCTATGAAGGATGATGCTAGCTCCGAGAGTTATGGAGGCTTAGGGTGATGATGACACTGGCAAGCAAAGCAAAGATCATCGCGAAAATGCTAAGTCAGGAAAGTGACAGATCAGTCACTTAAACGGGACTTTATGGTGACATTCTTAGGTCACGGAAAAGTCATGGTCAGAAGTGCCAATAAGTAAAGTCACAGAAACGTCACGTTGGAGTTCCGAAATTTCGTACAGAAAGTACCAGAAATGTGCCTGGCGAAGTGATGTTCTCGTCACTTCTCGTCACTTTTTTGTTTCACATGCCACGTGGCGAAGTGGCGTTTCATCTTTCTAGATATTTTGCCAGGGTCAATGTTGGTGATTGGTTAAAAAGGACCAATCAAATGTCAGCGAAAGGTGTGCCTAACCGTAATTTGATTGGCTGACGATTCTGAACAGCGACCGCACGTCGCATAGCATTCCGCACGTCGAAAATTTCAAAAGAGCACAACGGATACTACCGTACGCGTTTAGCAAAATGCGTCATAATTTCAATACGTACATAATACATTGACATAGCAAAGACAACCGCACACCCACACAACTGCACATCCATATGTCCACACAGCTAACCAGATCTACTCTAGAGCCTAGTTAGGAACTAAGCCGACCAGATGAGGTCGGGACGGTACTTGATGACACCAGGAAATTTAGTCACGGAACAGTTTGATGCCTGCATAAAAAACGCCGAACGTCATGGAACCTGCACTCAAGACAGCAGCAAACGTTCGTGACACGTGAGAGAGAGAGAGAGAGAGAGAGAGAGAGAGAGAGAGAGAGAGAGAGAGAGAGAGAGAGAGAGAGAGAGAGAGAGAGAGAGAGAGAGAGAAAACAATAACGAGAACAGCTCGACGAATAAAATAGGCGACGATGTGACAGCTCCAGAGGCAAAGATACTCACGCCCATGGAGATACACAAGCCAGGTTTGCAAAAACCACCTCGCGCAGCTCGAGCGCTCCCTTGTCAGAATGTTATTATCTAGCCTGTAGTGGGGTGCTCTATAGCGGGTACAACCCAGTTAGGGTTTGCTATATGTATCCCAACTGCTGCTAGTGAAATCCCTCTTTTCTGTTTCTAACTTTGTACTTCTTGATTCTGACATGGTATTAAGAGCTATAGGTTCTAGACCTAAGGGCCCACCGTTCCGCTAGTGGTGCCCTCGAGCGCCCCTTTTTTTTTAGCGCCCTCGTGCGCCTCTCCTCTCGTGCGCCCTCGTGCGCTCTCCTCTCACGCTGCCCGTGTGCAGCCCGCTAGCAGCCAGAGCGCGGCCCCGCCGTTTTAGCGCACGTAGAGAAACCGCCGCCTAGGGCGGCTCGATTTTTTCTTGCGAGCCCTAGCAGGCCGTCGCCCGTAGGCCCCGCTAGCCCCTAGGCCGACGCGCGACCCACAGCCGCCCGCCCGCAGGTCGCAGCCAGCGCGCCGCGGCGATCGCGCGTCGGCTGCTGCAGCCCGCGCTTAGCCGCCGCTAGAACGCAGCCGCGGCCCGCGCGCAGCCGCACCCTAGGCGCCGCCACGCACCGAGCATAGGCCCGCCGTCACGCCGCCTTACCCACCCGAGCCGCGCCGCCCGAGTCGCGCCGCCCGAGTCGCGCCGCCCTGACCGAGTCGCGCTGCCCTACCTGCTCCTACTGCTACTACTGTTGCTACTGCTACTGCTGTTGCTACTGCTACTGCTGCTACTGCCACTACTGCTACCTGCTACTGCCACTATGGCCAGTCCCACTGTTCTCACCTTTGACGCCGAGGGCCGCCCGATTAAGTTCGATGTCTGGCTTGATGACCTGCACCTGTACCTTCAGATCACTGCCAAGGACGATGTTTCCCTCTATGACCACACGTCCGGCGCTGCTCCCGCACCTCCCGCTACTGCTGACAGCACTGCTCGCTCCCAGTGGCAGACCCGGGATGCTCACGCTCGCCTAGCCGTTCGCAGTCACCTACCGTTAGATGAGCGCGAGCACTTCGGACAGCATAAGACCGCCAAGGAGCTGTACGACGCAGTAGTCGCGCGCTACTCCTCCCCTGCCACTGCTGCTATAGGCCGTCTCTCACTGCCCTACCTCTTCCCCGACCTGTCCGCCTTTGCCACTGTAGCTGACCTCATCACCCACCTCCGTACCAGTGACCTCCGCTACCGTGCCGCACTCCCCCCCGATTTCCTCGCCAAGAACCCCCCCCCGATGTACCTCACACTGTACCACCTTGTCACCCGCCTCCCTGACTCCCTTCGCACTGTCAGGGACCAGTTTCTCGCCCTCTCCCCCACTGACCTCACTGTCGACCTCCTCGAGAAGGAGCTCCTAGCAGCTGAGAAGAGCATTGTAGCTGTAGGTGCCTCTCGTGGTGACCCCCGCACCCCCTTCTTTGAGGGGTGCTCCCCCTCCCCCCTCCTCCCCTCCATCGCATCTGCTGCTGCTGTCGACTACCTCGGAGCTGAGGGGGTCGGGGCCGCGTCTGCTCCTAGTGGGAGACGCAAGGGCGGCAGGGGCAAGGGGGGCAGGGGTGGTGGAGGTGGAGGTGGGGGCGGCGGCGGTGGAGGAGGTGGGGGGGGCGGGGGTGGTGGCGGGAGTGGGAGTGGCGCGGGTGGTGGGGGGGTCAGTGGCGGCACAGGGGGTGGTGGCGGCGGCGGCGGTGGTGGGGGTGGTGGCGGTGGTGGTGGCAGTGGTGGCGGCGGTGGAACGGGTGGCGGGCGCGGTGGAGCGGTGCAGCGTGGGGGGTTTGGCGGTGGCCAGAGGCAGCAGCAGCAGCGCCCCGGCGAGACTCCCTCGCCCCAGCAGCTCCGTGAGTGGTACTCTCAGCGTGGGGGGTCTGGGGGAGGGGGTACCTGCCCGTATGTCATCCGCACAGGTGACCGCACTGGCCAGACTTGTGGGAAGTTTCACACGGCGCAGCGCTGCTTCTTTCGCCTTGACGACACCTGGCACGAGCAGTTCCCTGACGCCTCTGAGCTGCCCCGCTGGGCTGATCTGCTTAGGAAGGGGATTGATATCTTCGCTCTTGATTATGATGCTATCCTTGCTGCTATGTATGCATTGACTATTAGTGCTGAGGGTGACTGTTACCTGAGTGTACCGCCCGACCCGGGCATTGGGACCAGTGAGGCTGCAGCTCTAGGTGCTAGCGCGTCTGCTGCTCTAGGTCCTGGTGAGGCTGCTGCCCTAGGTGCTAGTGCGTCTGCGTCTGCTGGTACCGCACCTACTGAGGCACTGCACACCTTCACACTGGACTCAGGTGCTTCTCGCTGTTTCTTCCGCGACCGCACTGCCCTAGAGCAGCTTCCTCGACCGGTTGCTGTCTCCCTGGCTGACCCCTCAGGGGGTCCGGTCCTTGCGACCTCCACCACTGCCCTCCCTTGTCCTGCTGTCCCGTCTGGCACACTGTCGGGCCTCTACCTCCCCTCGTTCTCTACGAACTTGGTGGCGGGTTCCGCGCTCCAGGACGCGGGTGTTCACCAGTTCACCCCGGCCTACGAGCGTGTGACGCACTGCACGTGTGCGCGGACGGGTCGTCACCTGGCTACCTTCACTCGGCAGCCGGGGTCGGACTTGTACACACTGACCACTGAGTCCCCTCATGTAGCTGCGTCTGCGTCTGCGTCTGCGTCAGGTCAGCTGTCGGCCCCCTGCTCGTGCCGCTCCCTGTCACACAGGACTGTCCTCTGGCACCACCGCCTTGGTCACCCGTCAGTGCAGCGCCTTCGAGGCATGCACTCCCGGTACCTTGTCTCTGGTCTTCCCATCTTCTCTCCTTCCATAGTTCCTCCTCCTCCTCACTTGCCCGCTGTGATTACCTCTAGCTTTGCTTATTATTGTGAACTCCTGCTATGCCTGCTCATTGTGCTGATTACACCCCACTTTGGCTATGGGGGTGTGTCAGAATGTTATTATCTAGCCTGTAGTGGGGTGCTCTATAGTGGGTACAACCCAGTTAGGGTTTGCTATATGTATCCCAACTGCTGCTAGTGAAATCCCTCTTTTCTGTTTCTAACTTTGTACTTCTTGATTCTGACATCCCTCACACGCCAACGGCCGCGGTGAATGGAGCCTCGTGCGCCCCGGTCTGCACGACGTGTCCCCGCTGCAGCACGGCGATGCAGTGCGCGCAGCGCACGGAGAGGCGGTGGGCGACGACGAGCGTGGTGCGCGCGCCCATGAGCGCATCGAACGCAGCCTGCACCGCCTGCTCGCTCACCGCGTCCAAAGCCGACGTCGTCTCGTCCAGCAGCAACACCTGCGGATACCGCAGAATCGCCCGCGCGATCGCCACGCGCTGCTTCTGACCCCCGACAGCTGCATATCTCGCTCCCCCTCATGCGTCTCATAGCCCTGCGGGGGGAGGGGGAGGGTACGGAGGGACGAGAGCGGTAAGGATGGGAGTGCGAGCCCGGGGCATGGGAGGCGGAAACGAAGGGAAAGTGGGAACGGAAAGCAGTCTGAGGAGCAGGGGCAAGAGGGAGAGACGAAGCTGAGAAGAAAGACGTACGAAGGAGAGGCGCGAACTCACTTACGTCGGGCAGCGAGGATATTAAGTAGTGGATGTTGGCGAGGCTGAAGTGCTGGAAGATGGGCACGTCCATCACACGCCAGGCTAACCTTGAAACTGGGAGGGGTACGCAAAGGTCACCTCGCGCAGCTCCAGCGCTCCCTCACGCACCAAGCTAACCTTGAAAATCCTTGGGGAATGGAGTTGGGAGGGGAGGGCAGATGCAAAAAGGGGATAGAATATATTAAGGAAACGAAGTGTAAGGACAGGGAGAGCATGAGAAGATTTGAACAAGAATGAATGAACTATGAAATGAAGTGAGTACAAATATGAAACCCTAATTGGTTGTACCCCCTATGGGATACCCCACTATAGCCTACACAACAGCATAAGCTATAATGTTCTGACACACCCCCATAGGCAAAGTGGGGGAGAACAAGGGGTCACAAGACTAGTCAAGCAAAGTAAAGCAAAGCAAGCTCAGGGTGGATCACAAAGTCACCACACAGTCCGAGCACAGGGTCAAGGCCACACGGCCAGTTCACATGCAAGAGTACACACATATATATAAACTAGACAAGCAAGAGCAGGTATATATATATGTGAGAGTACAGGCAAGGTCAAGAGGAGAGCAAGTGAGGCAAGACGGGCACAAGACCCAGCTGAGTGCAGAAGCGCTGATGATCACAAGGCGGAAGTGCCTTGGTGAAGACATCAGCAGTGTTGGCCTCAGAGGCCACGTACGCAAGCCGCAACTGACCACGTTGCTGTAGCTCACGAGCAAGGAAGTAGCGGAGAGCAATGTGCTTTGTTCTGTGCTCCAGTCGCTGTTCTCGACACAAGGCCAGCATGGCCTTGTTGTCTACGTACAGGACTGGAGGAGAACGAGGCGGCTCTCCAAGGTCGGTCAGCAGGTAGGTGAGCCAGCGAAGCTCCTGTGCAGCCATGGCCCCGGCGTAGATCTCAGCCTCACAACTCGAGCCAAGAACAGAAGACGAGCGAGTAGCCCGCCACGAAACAGAGCCGGAACCAAGGCTGAAGGTGTAACCCTGTGACGACCGCTGCGTAGCCTGGTCGTCAGCCCAAGAAGCGTCCGCGTGCCCAGTGAGGACCACTGGACTCCGCCCTCCAAGCACTAGCCCCATGCCCGACGTACTGCACAAGTAGCGCAACACCCTCTTCGCTGCAGCCATGTGCTCTGGTCTGTGTCTCCCAGGAGCAACATAGCGTGCGAGAATGCTAAGAGGGTATGCAAGGTCAGGTCGTGTGCAGGTCATCAGGTACATGAGGCAGCCAACAAGCTCTGGGTACGGGCCACTCGACTCTACGGACTCATCCGAAGGCAGAGCTGAGAGCGAGTGGCGAGTAGACAGAGGAGTGGCCTGAGGCGAGGAGTACGTGAAGCCGAAGCGCTGAAGGACCTGCTGCACCATGTGTGACTGAGTCAGGGTAATGGTGCGGCGTGCTCTGTCCCGGGTGATCTGCAAGCCAAGGTAGCTGCGCAGTTCACCCAGGTCTGTGCACGTGTGTCTCTTCTGCAGCTCGGACTTCACGTAGGCGAGTCCAGCAGTGTCAGCTGTGGCAAAGACCAAGTCGTCGACGTACACGAGGATGTAGAACGGCGGCAGAGAGGTGTCGGTGCGTAGAAACAGCGACGGGTCGGCAGTAGAAGGAGCAAACCCAAGAGCCGCAAGTGTAGTCCTCAGTGTGTCGTGCCACTCACGTGGCGCCTGGCGGAGACCGTAGACTGGACGCCGGAGACTCCACTGGGTACCAGAAGGGAAAGACCCAGTGAAGCCAGGTGGGCGACGCAGCCAGATCTCCTCGTGCAGGCTGCCCTGCAAGAAAGCTGTGCTGAAGTCAAGAGAGTGCAGCTCGTAGTCACGGTGAGCAGCAACGTGCAGCAGTACCCGAAGAGTGGTCATCTTCGGGGTGGGGGAGAAGGTCTGAAAGTAGTCAACTCCCTGCCGCTGACTGAAGCCACGAGCCACGTAACGCGCCTTGAAGACAGGCGGAGAACCCGGCGGCCGCTTCACCCTGAAGATCCACATGCCACTGACGATGTTCGCCCCAGGAGGGGGGACAGCGTCAACGTAGGTGCCTGTGGACTTCCAGGAAGCCATCTCTGCATCCATAGCTGCCTGCCACTGAGAGGAGTAGGGACCCTCTATCGCCTCCGCGTAAGAGCGCGGAGTCGGGATGTCAAGTGCATCCGGGTCTCCCTCAGGGGTAAGCAGTACGGACACGAGATGAGGTGAGGCAGCTGCCAGACACTGGAACTCCTCCTGCCTGTCCTCAAGGACGTCCGTGCCAAGGGCACACTCACCCCCGACGGACGGAGGACAGACAGACTCAGACTCAGCGACAAGACTAGCAGCGTAGTCTAAGCGACAGCGAGCAGCAAAGTCGACGAGCTCAGTAACGAGAGCAGACGCAGCAGTAGACTCGAAAGAAGGGTCAGTGACAACAGTAGCAAGGAGACGCGTGACAGTAGGACTGGCAGCACGAAGAGAGTCCGACTCCGGGTCGGCAAGAGCAGGAAGAGAGGACTCAGGAGGAGAAGGCAAAGGGGCACGCAGAGGAGCAGTGGACGGACGCAGAGACATCCGGTGCGTGCCAGGGACAGGAGGAGGACGCTGACGCGAACCGCGACCACTAGTGCGAGCAGCACGGACAGGCGACGCAGGGCGAGACGCAGGCTCACGACGCTCAGCCAGACCTCCAGTAGGACCAGTGTAGGGAGAAGGAGCAGGCAAAGGGGAGGTAGGCTGCAACTGTAGGTGGGACGAGACAGGCTGTGGGCACTCTAAGGGAGGAGGAGGACCAGTAGAGGGTGGAAGACCAAGAACCTGCTGCAGGAGTGGCACGAAGTACGGTCGAGGCCGCGCGGCGACGCTAGAAGCAGCCGGGACAGCACCAGAACCCTCAGCAGGAGCACCCGCTCCAGCAGCACCACCAGTAGCTCCAGAACCTCCAGCAGCACCAGGAGCACCCCCAGTAGGACTGCCAGCAGTAGTCTCAGCGCCAGCACCCTCAGCAGCGCCAGCTCCAGTGCACCCAGGACGAGCACCTCTGGGACCCACGACCGCAGCACCCTCAGCAGCCGAAGGACCTCCAGCACCAGCAGCACGCCTCCAGCGCCGGGCAAACCACTCACGCAGCTCCTGTGGAGAAAGTGGCTCCCGGCGAGACGAAGGACTCGGAGAACCTCCAGGCGAAGCACCTCCAGGCTCAGCACCCCCAGGCGTAGCACCCCTAGGCTCAGCACCCCCAGACGTAGCACCCCTAGGCTCAGCACCCCCAGGCTCAGCACCCCCAGGCTCAGTACCCCCAGGCTCAGCACCCCTAGGCTTAGCACCCCCAGGCGTAGCACCCCTAGGCTCAGCACCCCCAGACGTAGCACCCCCAGGCTCAGCACCCCCAGGCTCAGCACCCCTAGGCTCAGCACCCCCAGACGTAGCACCCCCAGGCCCAGCACCCCTAGGCTCCGCACCCCCAGGTACAGCACCCCCAGCCTCAGCACCCTCAGCAGCACCAGAGTCACCAGTGACCTCGACAGGCTCGACCGCGTCTACCTGGGACACACCTGAAGGGGCAGGACCCTGAGGGGGGAGGGGGTCTACCTGGGGGGGACCTGGTACCAGGAAGAGTGGGGGTGGGGGGAGGGACGGAGTGCGGTAGGGGAAGAGGCGGTAGTAGGGGACCGACTCGTCAAACGTGACGTCCTGGGAGGACAGAACACGGCGAGAGGTGGGGTGGTAAAACTGCCACCCAGGCGCGTCAGGGGGGAACCCCAGGAAGACGCAAGGAGCAGCACGAGGGGATAGTTTGTCCGCAGACAGGTCGCGGACAAACGCCCGAGATCCCCAGACCCGGAACGCCGACGCATCGCCAACCTTCCCCGTCCACAGCAGGGCTGGGGAGGTCTCCGGCCTGGAGACCCTGGGGTGGAGGTTGATCTGATGCGCCGCGTACCGAACCGCAAACGGCCACAGAAAATGGGGGGCAGCCGCATGCATCATAGACGTACGAGCGACGTCCATGACCATGCCAATGCGGCGCTCAGCAATCCCATTTTGCTGCGGTGAGTCCGGAAGCGTGAAGGTCTGACGGATGCCCCGTGCACGACAGTAGGCACGCAGAAGGCCAGAGGAGAACTCTCCGCCTCTGTCCGAGTGCAGACGCAGAACAGGAAAGTCCGAGCCGAAGCTCTGCCGGAGCTGGAGACGAGCTGCGCGGATCCAGTCGATCAGCACCTCAGTGACATCACCCTTGCTGCGCAAGGGGAAGACTGTGGTGTAACGCGAGTAGTCGTCAACAACGAGCAGGAAGTAGCGCTCGTGACCCTGTCCACGGACGCGGGCTGGGCCCCACACGTCCATGTGAAGTGTCTGCAACGGGGCCTCTGTCGGAGGAAACTGGGAGGAGTGAGGGGCAGCACGCAGGCGCCCCTCGACACAGGGGACACAGGCAGGGCCAGGGCCCTGAGGAAGGGGAGGGAGGGACCGGGGGAGACCGGACACAAGAAGACGGGAGGCCATACCTCTGAGCCGAAGCAGAGAGGGGTGGCCAAGGCGGTGGTGCCAGAGGAGAGTCTCGTGAGACAGGAGACGACACGAACAGGGGGCAGACTCAGGACCAGACCTGGACGCCGCAGCAAACACCTGACCCGACGTAACTACCCTACCAGACTCAGCAACTGGAGGAGACGCAGTGGTCAGAGTGTACAGGCTCGACCCCGGCTGACGGGTGAACGTAGCCAGGTGTCGGCCTGTGCCAGCCTCTGTACAGTGGGTCACTCTCTGACGTGCAGGAGTGAACTGGTGGACCCCCGCATCCTGTAGGTCAGCACCACTCACCAGGTTCGTAGAGAACGAGGGGAGGTAGAGACCAGACAGGGTGCCAGAGGGAGCCGCCGGACACGGGAGGACTGTGGAGAAGCGAGACAGGACAGGACCCCCAGAGGGGTCAGCCAGAGACACTGCAACCGGTCGACTCAGCGGTGTGAGTGTGGTGCGGTCCCAAAAGAAGGAGCGAGACGCCCCAGAGTCAAGGGTGAAGGTGAGGGAGGCCGAAGCCGACGCAGTACCTGAG